GGCTAGATGTTGCTGACCTCTAGCAACAATATCCAGCACTAGTTAGTGGCTAGATGTTGCTGATCTCGTTACAATAGCCAGCACTAGTTAGTGGCTAGATGTTGCTGATCTTGTTACAAAAGCCAGCACTAGTTAGTGGCTAGATGTTGCTGATCTCATTACATTAGCCAGCACTAGTTAGTGGCTAGATGTTGCTGATTTCGTTACAATAGCCAGCACTAGTTAGTGGCTAGATGTTGCTGACCTCTAGCAACAATATCCAGCACTAGTTAGTGGCTAGATGTTGCTGATCCCAAGTTACAATAGCCAGCACTAGTTAGTGGCTAGATGTTGCTGACCTCTAGTTACAATAGCCAGCACTAGTTAGTGGCTAGATGTTGCTGACCTCTAGCAACAATACCCAGCACTAGTTGTTAGTGACTAGTTGATGTGCAATACAAGTTTGTGATGATGTTATTGTGGGTCTGTCATCTGGTAGCAATAATGTGAGCCAGACAGACCAGGTGTTGATTATATTGTCTTTATGTTGAGAAACAGCAGTACATGTAGTACCCTCATTGTGATTTTTAAATTTCTTTTCAATTTAATTTCTTTCATTTAAAGTTGATGTTGTAATTTATCTTTGATCATGCAGCTTATTTCTAATAAATTTAGAATTAGACAACTGTGTTACCTTTTTTTCTAAAGATTAAAGCCTTAACTTGAACAGCAAGAAGACTGAAGAAATATTAACCTAAAAGAAATGGGTTGTGCCTAAATTTACGATTAATTCTGAAATATTAAAAGCTGACAACAGGATATTTAGCACATAATGATTTACATAACGTTTTACTTATTTACATGTTAAAAACTGTTAGATAAACCTGTGGATGAACTAAGCTGAAAGCTGAAATTAGTGGTTTTAGTAGTCAGGGGCCAAAATTCAAATGGAAAATATACCACAGAAATAGGACAAGCAAGGAAAAAAATGTGTTGGATGAAAGTATTTTTTTTTTGTGTGGCTACATTAAAACTGAAACAACTAAAGATTGATGCTTAGGGATTTTTTTTTTAAGGGCCATTTACACAGTGCACAGATTGCTTTATAAAGCAGTTCAGTCATCTTTTAAATTTCACAAAGAGAATCAGCCTCGATGAAAATTTATGTACAGAAATAGCTCAATGGGAGTAGACCACAAGGCAGACCAAGAAGACAGTTGACAAGACTACACACAGGACTTCAGACACCTGAAGTCACCAGCTAGAAAGAGGCCAATAACAGAGATCAGTGGAGGTGGGTGAGATCTGCAACAGTGAACCTCAAGGGCCTGGAAGGCTGGAGAGAAATGTCAGTAGTCTCCCATCAGAGGCTGTAACTTCTGGGCTACTCTGTTCGTGCCATTAATGGAAACAGCATAGACAAAATTCATGCTTTTTTTTATATAATGGAAGGGACAGGCCAAATTGGTATGTCAGTTGATCTTCAGTTAACTGCTATGAAAGGTTTAGATTTAAAGATAACAAGAACTCTAGTAGACAGATATTGTATCATTTGAGAAGTGAACACCTAAAGGAACTTTTTCAAGTCGGTGCTGTACTGGGCATTTGGGAGCTAGACTCATAATTTTATAAACCAATCAGAGCTCGATGGGTGATGTGGTCAACATCATGCTGGTTGCCTTTACTTTCCAAGATATTTCTTTGTACTCATTTTAGGCTGGGTATACTTTTTAAGTTGGTGTCTTTGGCTTAGGCACTGCGAACTAGCTTCATAATGCCGGGGTGCCAGGTTAAATCCTAGCTGCAGTCCTTGCGCTGGTTTCAACAGTGGTATCAAGAAGCTGACCGTCCAGAAAGCAATGGCAAACTACTGGACGTAAATCTGCTAAGAAAAACCACCACAGCCAAAAAATGCTTAGGTTGGATCTGCAACTAACTTTATACCTTGGAAAGATCACTTATAAAGAATCCTCTTTGATACAGATTATGACCTAAGACCAGCCACTGTGCTCCAGCAAAATCCCAATTCAGGAACAGATTAATATAATATATAACTGGATGGCAGAGAAGTTAAGAAAGGCATATTACATACAGACTAGTCAGTAAACAGTCAATCTGTTGCTTGGTAGGAAAAGAGTTGCAAAGCACAAATATAACTGCATCACATGTAACTGGACTTCAAAACACAAGAGGTAACAATTGTTGCAGTTTTTATTGCAATGTTTATTTTCAGATTTTATTAAAACATGTTTCACAATCAACGGGCGGGAGATAAGAGCATTTCACTTACACATAAAATCAATGTACAACACAGTAAGTACAAACATAACATACAGAAAACAACAGGATGTGCTTCCGCTTGAAAGCCTTTCTGTAGCAGCCAGTTCTCTGTCTCACTAAGATATTACATAATGAAGGAGTTAAAAACATGGGATAGTTTCAGTAACAGCTGAGATCTGAGACCTGGCTAAGACAGGAGGTGCTTCACAGTGTATCCTGTGTACCGTGACCAATGATGAGTGGATATCAAATTGACCCCTTTCACACCATGGGGCACTGGGTATATGGTGCCAGACTCACATTTTCATAGACCAAATGGCACTTGATGGGTGATGACGGCCGCCTTTACTTTCCATATTTCCTGGAACCCACTGCAGGCTGAGTCAACCAGGAAACCCTGGATGCTTGATACAAATCCACCCTGATGCAGATTCAAACTTTTGGGGTGGCAGACAAGCACCTAGCCACTGCAGCTGCTGGTGACAAGTGGATATGAAGCAGTTGAGCAAATGACATGAGATAGGTGGAAGTAAAGTCACAGCTGGAATATGTGGCCTAGATGGAAGTATTCAGAGATAACTGTATTCTGTACAGAAGGACAGGACTTGGTGCAGAATGAGAGATCATAGAAGTCCCTGTAAACATGAAACAAGGGCATACAAAGTCTATTATCACCCTAAATGGCCACATAAGTTAACATGTGGACACCAGTGTTTTCTCCAAGCTATATTAACATATGCTGGCAGAGTTTTTAGCCCTTAGTGTACATTTTTTGTTGAGTGCTGGGGTAGACCTCAGGCAGATATGCCTTTGGAGTGTGAAGTGCTAGGTCTGTTTTCTCCAAGCTATATTAACATATGCTGGCAGAGTTTTTAGCCCTTAGTGTACATTTTTTGTTGAGTGCTGGGGTAGACCTCAGGCAAATATGCCTTTGGAGTGTGAAGTGCTAGGTCTGTTTTCTCCAAGCTATATTAACATATGCTGGCAGAGTTTTTAGCCCTTAGTGTACATTTTTTGTTGAGTGCTGGGGTAGACCCCCGGCAAATATGCCTTTGGAGTGTGAAGTGCTAGGTCTGTTTTCTCCAAGCTATATTAATATATGCTGGCAGAGTTTTTAGCCCTTAGTGTACATTTTTTGTTGAGTGCTGGGGTAGACCCCCGGCAGATATGCCTTTGGAGTGTGAAGTGCTAGGTCTGATACCTTTTCGGTCATGACACATTAGGTGGCATGGCCAGTTAACTTTCTTGTTGCCTTTCCTTCCCCAAAAATTCTGTACTGATCTGGTACCTGTTTATGACGGTGGAGACAGATTTCAAATAAACACAATGGTCATGAATGTTGAAAGCTGCCTCAGTGACAACTGAAAGTTCAATTTTTGACAAATTATTTCACTGCTGATAGAGAACACTGGTGTGAAACAGCAACTTCAATCTTGTTATCTGTTAATTACCTCTTCCAGATGCTTAAAACTGAGTCTATGGCTGGCTTCTTTCTATTACTGCCTTTTAATAGTCTCAAAAAAAATGCATATTTCAGTAGTAAAAACCTGACTGTGTTAAGTAAGTGTTTAGAACACTTTCCTCTATTTCATGCCAATGAACCTCATTTTGTAAGAAGGAGCACAAAGTAAGTATTCAACTTAACTTCTGTGCACCGCACTAGATGTTAGGCCAGCCTGTTACACAAACTGAGACTGCGTATAACAGTTGAATAAATGGGGCTTTCTTTCAACCACACCACAGAAAATACAGCAGGAGCACTTGCAATGTTTGACATGGTTTCTTGAAAAGAGCCATCTACATTGATGGTTCATATTTCTAAAATAATCAGTGGGAGATGTCACTGAAAATTCTAACATATTGACTACCTACAGTCACTGAATAGACCAAGAACTGTTTACTCCTATTTAGACGTGGGAGCAGTCTAGCATAATTCCAACTCTACGACAGGCCAAAGTCATCAGTACAGCCCTTATGGACTGCAGGGAGCCATGTTTGACACTGCTGGCCATACAGAATGTGCATTGTGACACTCACTGGTCAGTGTATGGAATGTACAAAGAACAACAACAGTGGTCAAAGCTTAGCTTCAAGCATCTAGTCAGACATGCCACTAACTATTGCTGAAATGAGTGCAGCTTTACAGATTCTAGAAGACTGTCCCATTTCTCCCATACCTTACAGGTAACAATTCTTACTGGTTGTATTCTGGTAGATTATTCAATCCTCCCCCAAGCTTCCATCTTGTATATGTTACATACATACTTATGAGGCACAAATTTCTGATTTTGTCAGATAAGAGACCAGTCATGTCTTTCACAATGATGCTGCTGTCGAGTTCCATAAAGTCACCTGCCCCTACAAGGCTATATAGCTGGTCAAAAGTATGTCTGATGGATTATCCTTTCCCCCATCAGGTGAACAGCTCACATTTGTGAATGCAGCACATACTGTGTAAATGTGAATGTAGGAAACACTGCGCTGTGATATCAGACATCCCACTGCTAGTAACCGAAAGACATTTGACCCAACCTGCCTAGTTTTTTATACATATACAATATATTCAGTGCAAGCTTATTTTAAATACCAAGAAGTGTCTGTAGACATGTGCGACCATCAGTGGCTACAGAGCTACATGATATCAGACACATAATTAAAAAACTATACTGTACAATGGCGTGACCAAGGCATCCTTCCATGGCTTGTGTCTGTCATCTTGGCAGCAGCTGCAGACATGATCATCATCCATACCTTTTCTTGTCCATCTCAATCTCCTGCTGTCGTCTGGCGATGGCTGCATTCTTTTCCTTGATCTTTTGAATCTTTACATCAAGTTCTGTAGGCTCTTCTGCTTGAGAGAACATGACAAGGAATGAAAGTTTTCTGTGCACAACACTGTACAATACAATTCTGACAACATGTAAACATGGCTTGTGTTCAATTATAGACAGCCACACAGTAGCACCATATATCTGGCCATGTGGGTAACAGAAACAACTATAAGAACTTCATGTTTGTACAACTATAATACTGCTAATATAGATCTCACACAGGCCACATTAAAATTCACAGTGGCCGGAAAACAAACATAAAATAAGAAAATTAGTATATAATTTTTATAGATGTACCTGGCTTCAAATGTACAATTTAAAAATGTGTCATAATAAAGAAAAAACTTTCCCTGAGTAGAAACAACAAGAGTCTAGTAAATGTTTATATCTTGAGCAAACAAGTATATGATGTGACAAAATAACAATAACAATTTGGTAATGAAATATGAGACAGTAAAACCTGTCAGATGTTAGGCATGAAATAAGACATGCTTGCAGTTTCCATTACACTTCTCTGCTTCTTCTTCTTCTGCCTTTCTATCCCCCATGGAGCATAGGCCCTCAACCAACACACTTCTCTAAAGCACTATAAATGTTTTCACAACAAATGATTTCCACCACAGCTTTTCATCAGCTGTAGAACTAGAAAGTAAAAGCAACATTCCTTTCATTGAAGCAGTAGTTTAGCTAACTTCCTTTCTGGCTAAATCCTTCAAACACATAATTATAGAAGAAAATGCCTGTGCAACATTTAAGTAATGTCTCATACTTGGGATAAAGAATGCACACAAATAATTCTGTATCTATGCATGGAAAACCACATTCTATGACAGGCTGGCAAAAGGACAACCTTCCACACATCAGAGGAGCACAGCTGTTCACCAGGAGGACGATGCTGCAAATTATCGGATAAGTTGATAGTCTCCTGAAGTGTCTCTAAAATCCATGTACTTGGATAAGCTGATCATGTCTCTAAGGCAGGACATAAACAAAAACATCTTGGTTATGTCGATAGTGTTCCCAGGTGTCTCTTAGGTCCCAAAATATGATGTACACATACACATTTTAGAAAGTTGATTGTGTCTTGTAGATCTTAAAACATGATGTACACATACAGACTGAAAAGTTGATAGATCTCAAAACATGATGTACACAAACATGAAAAAACAGCTTAGTACATTATCATGTACGGCTGACAGTTTGATCAAACAATTGTTGACTGACATTTTGCTCTAGCTCTAGGTTGCCAGGCAATAGTTGTTCTGGAATCGATGATCAGATGGCCAGTAGGTTCAAAACCAGCTGCACTGTACCATTTATTCATCTGAGGTCCCAAAATATGGTGCAGGACATAGTCATTTTAACAAAACCAATAATAAGGAATATCAACTTTATGTCTTGTGTTTCACACTTGAAATGACATTGCTGAACTTCAAATTTCAACAAATGCCTAGTTTTATTTGTAATTTTAAAATCTTGCGATGATCACAATTAACAACTGTAACATTCAATTATCACAGCAAAATCTGTTACAGATTTCAAGAAAAATTGTATACTCCTAATATAAAAGTAAGAAACTCATTTATTTTTCTTATACGAATTTTCAGGGAGGGGGTATCATTTTTAGCTTGAGGATTTTGGGCCACAATGCTTGTGTAACTCCATAAACTGCTTGTGGTTGTTGTCACTAACAGAAAAATGTCCACCATTTTAATGGGGAATCAAACCAGGAATTCCTGAAAGGGCCCAGCATGCTAACCACATGACCAGTACTCTAAAATCCAGAGTCAGTTTTTAATTAAAATTCTAAATAAAAGTATAAATATGTATACACATACAATACATATATAAAAATGTATAAGCCAACCCAAATCATGATTTCAAAAAGTCTCAGAGAAATGCTTTAAAAAAGAAATTGTGTAACAATCCATAGCACTGCACCAGAAGTTGAACTTGGAGAATTGTGTTTAAGGTGTGCTATGGACAGTCTGCTGTCACACTGAGGATTATATCACAGATTTGATGTGCTGCCTTCAACATCAACATATAACAGTACATGGGAGTCGTCGCAGCTAGATCGGAATGCTGTGGGTTTGCTCCCTGGCGGAGCCGGACTTTTTCATAAATGGCCTTGTCTCCCAGGTCGACCCAGCCTTAGTGGGTACCGGGTGCCCTCTCGGGAAGTAAAAGTGGCCGGCGTGATGCTGACCACATCACCTATCTTGTGCCGATTGGTCTATAAAATATAGATCTAGCCCTATATGCCTAAAGGCGTGGAAAAGGGTCCTTTGTTTTTACTGTTATAACAGTACATACTCAAACATGTCCAAACATTTCCTCTTTTTCTGAAATTGTCAATGATGAGTGTGTTCCTGTTTTCTCTGTGTCACTGCTACCCCCACCTCCCTCTCTCTTTCTCTCTCCCCCTCTCTCTCTCCACTGATATATATACACATACACTGAAACACATTCTCATCATACAAAAGTAAAGAACCATTTTGCCTAAGTTGGCACATACTGTTTACTTCTTCATAGCATTCACCGCTTATAAACTCTGGTGGAAAGTTTTGGCTGTTTGTCCACTCCTGGACTTTGATCTTGATCCAGAACCTGAATTTTGCATGCAGATCAATTTTACAGATGCGGTTTATTTTTATGCAGACTGTTGGTTTCTTTCTTTTCTGGCAGATACCCTCCAACTTTGAAGGAAACATACCTAATTATTTGCCTCCTGCGTCATGCTTGTTAGGGGCCAGTTGGTGTTCTTTCTGTTCTCCAAAATGGAGCTGAGGAAAAAACACAGGAAATATTGGTTATATGATGCTGGTCCCACATCTGTACAGACCAGTCAGCACACAAGAGGTGACCTGGGCAATATAACGCTGGCGGTCTCTATCTCCCGTACCACACTGAGGCTGGGCCGACCTGTAGCCAGGGTCAGTTGCTTTTAAATCACCTGAATATGAATTGAAACACTGAACCAGTAGCCACTCTGCTGAGACTACTCCTTTACACACATGCACACCATATAATATAATATATGTATGTACATACGCACACAGACATTTGTTCTTACTGAGGCATTTAGGGAAAAACAATCCCAAACTAAAATATAAAACATGCAATTAACAATCTAATTAAAAACAATTAATGAAAACACGGTTCTTAAACATAATGTAACAAACACCACATGACCAGGCTGGAGGTTTCTGACTGCCAGAAACTGTTGACTCATTCTTCTAAAAATCACATGATCTCGGCAAGGCTGATGGGTTTATTCCAGAACCATTGAACAACTTCAGTGACTTAGTGTGCCTGTCTACTTTCACCGAGACAAGGCAATTACATGCCTATATGTGCAACTAATCACATCAGCAGACTCAGTGAATATTACAGAAAAGAAATAAACCCAGTGTCTTTTGATTAATACCAGAGTCACTGTAGATGTCTTTGATCAGAGTCTTTGATGGGTGTCAAAGAACTTGGAAGTATATAAAATAAGGTAATATTTTAGACAAGAGAAAATAGGTACATCAAGTGAATAATTAGACAAGATAAACTGGTAGACATGTTACGGTAAAGTATGAGTCAGACAAGTATTAGACAGACATAAAAGTACGAGTCAGACATAAAGTGCTAGCGGGACATGATAAAGTATCAGATAGACAAAGGAGAGAGTGTAAAATGTTGGACAAGATAAAGTATTTTGACAAATTAAATAATCAAACAAGGTAAAATATTAGCCAGAAACAGTAAAGACATCAACAACAACAACAACAAAAATCACGCAGAGTAAAATCATAAACATCATACCACATTACGCAGACACAATAAGGAAACAGATAAACACGATAAGCAAGGAAAAGGTATTAAAATGGACAAAAAGTAAGGTAATACAAAGTATTAATCAGATGTGGTAAAATAGTGAGACATGGAAAACTACAAGATAGGATAAAGGCATTAAATACTGTAAAATATTCTAAATGAAAAAACTTTTACCGAAGTTAAGACATGAAATAAAAGTAAAATTAAGTACATGTGGTAAATGTAAGCAATATATGGTTTAAAAATTAACTAAAGTAAAATATGAGAAAAGGCACTAGAGAAATGCTGAAACTACACAACATTAACTGGACCCTCTTGTTCATAATAGTTTAAAGTATTTGATTCTCAAACGCGAAAGCATATAAGCAGACAATCCTCATCTTCATTATCCTGTGTGTGCTGTTAAGCCGTCACATATGGCTCCCATTTGATTCCTTCACTCCGCTCTATTGCAGGCAACTCTCAATTTCTGACATGGAGTTCAGATCAGCATTTCAAACCTCTTGCAATAATGTTCCTCTCCAGCAAGTGTATGATTGGAGTAGGAAGTTTCAAAACGGTGCGACTTTTGTCACAGACTACTTACTGACACAGAAATTACAGACATGATAAAGTATTAGTGTGTGGTAGGGAGGTGGAGGCAGTCACAGCAGCTTTCCACTGTCATGAGAACCAGTTGCATACACACATCATGACTGTGAACATCTCAAAATAGCATGTTAAGAATGGTGGAGACAGGAATGCTCTACGCAGAGTGGCAAGCATTGATTCAGAGGTCCCAAGTGGTTGGTGCTTTGTGGATATTTTTCTGTGTATGCGCCAATGGTTTATAGATTACAAGCTGGATGTAGTCAAGACCTTTTGGGAGCAAGTGAACAATGTGGCGGCTCAATTAGATCATTATGGTCTGAAGAGACTGGTAGAGCTAGGAGTGACCAGGGGATCTGGTCAACACTCAATGGATCTAGTCAACACTCAACGCTCAGGGGATCTAAACACTCGACGCTCAGGGGATCTACACTCAAACCTCAGGGGATCTAAACACTCGACGCTCAGAGGAAAGGCAAGAGGGACAAATAATCAAACTGCTGCTGGCATGATCGGAATCGGAACTCTTCACTGGCTGCTGAAGATGGGGACAGAGAGATTGACCTGTGTGCTCTGATGTCAGTTTTTAGCTCAAAACTCAAGATATTCAGTTATTAAAACAACATCCTAATGTAAACTTCTGAGTGATAAGTTATCTAAATGCTGTACAGCTACATATAAATATATGTAATATAGCAATATATCTGAGTATTATTGGGCAAAATAAATAAGTGTTCAGTGTCAAGATATTTTTGTGCTGTATCGCAAGACAGATAAGCTTTATACAACTAGATATGTGTGTGTGTTGTATAGCAAAGTCACATGACACATGTGACCAAATATCTGAGTGACTTTTGAGAGAGAGAGAGAGATATATATATATATGACATCCTATTTCTAAAACTGTAAACATATTACAACTTTTCTACTACAGTCAAAATCACAAACACTACTAAATCTGCTTGATTAACTCATTTACGGACTAGATAAAAACATTACTTACTCAACAACAGACTGCACCTACATAACATAGAAGATACTGCTAGTCAATAAGATGAAAGCTGGCCTGGGCAAGTAAAATATAAATAATACTGGCAACTTCTGAAAGAGAAACACTAAACCCTAGTTGCCAGCTCTACAACTACAATGATGCCATATTACCACAAAATAAACAACTTTAAAAGTCAGCTTAAGCAACAATTTAACCTAACAACATCTGTACATAAAAAGGATTTATTTAAACCACTTGTATAATATGTACAATATCTACATTATTTACAAATAACATAATTAAAGACTTGGGAATGGGAAATATGAGAAACAGATTGTCGAACATGGCACTGAAATAATATAATTATTATTATGTGTAAGTGGTCACACAACTACCCTCAACTATTAAACAAATTATTTAAAAAGCAACAGTTTTATATTAAAACTAAGAAAAAGATCTTTATCATAAATTTATATATATATATATATATATATATATATATATATATATATATATATATATATATATATATATATATATATATATATATATATAGGCAGCTAGACACTTGTCTGTGGGCCTCAAGGATGAAATCCTCATCTAACTGGACTGTTTTTAAACCCAGCCTTAAATAGGTACCTGGTAATGTCCAGGAAAGTAAAGGTGGATGGCGTGATGCTGACCACATCACTCACCGAGTGCTAATTGGTCTATAAAAATATGGGTCTAACACTATATGTCCGATGCGCCACTGGTGTCAAAAGGGCATGCTACTTCACTTTAAATAAACCTTGCTGGGTGTGCTTGTGCATTCCAGTATGCTGTAAAGAACATAGGATTAAAAACTAGCATCTTATGCAGTAACTGATAATTTTTAAATGATTTATCTTCAAAAGATTTTGTTTATCTCTTGCTTTTGAATCTTTGAAGATTTTGAGGTCAGTGTTTGGAGCAGATCACTTCCTCTCACTAGGTCCAATGCATGGAATCAAACATATGTTGTGAAGTAAAACAGTCAGATTCATATTTTAACGTTTCAACAATGAACGTCCAATACAAATCACTGGCCATCACTGACACTCTGCAGCAGCTTTCTAATATAAGAAACTATGACTTGTCTGTCTAGTTTGCTACTCTGTTTAATATGTTTTAAGAAGAATCTCTCACAAGCAACAAAACTGACATTGGAACTCATGAACAGACCTGTTGCCCCTCACTCTGATGTTATAGTGTGTATAAAACCAAGGTCCTTCCATGTTCAGTGCATACTGGAGGACATGGTATCAGACCCATATTTTTGGCTTGTGAGTTTGGTCAAATATAAAGGACTTTACTCCCATGCCATCTTGGCATACTGAGGATATACTAGGTCCATATTTTTGGGGATGTGTGTTGTAAATATACAAAACTAAAGCACTTTTCCATCCCATCCTGGTATAGTAAAAACATGACAGCAATTGATGTTCTGATCAAACAGGCTGTCATAGCTCCTGGAAAACTCTTCAATGCCCTTTTATGTGGTTAGGTCAAACATGTGATCATAAACTCAAGGACCAAATTCAAGATATACAAACCCAGGCCAAACTGATTAGCAGGCTGATGAATTAGCCACTGCAGGCATGCATATACATTTAGTTACCTTTCTTTGTCCTGCGATTCTGAGCGATACTTAATGAAACTACATCTGTCATCAGACTTTTGTGACTGGTGTAGTTTAGAAGACAAGCCTGACTGAGGTTTATCAAGTCTCATTAAACCGCACAAAGTGACATTAGTCGTAGCTTTTGTCCTATGGTTTCTAATCAGATTCATTTCTAGAGGGAAATATGTGCAAAGTCTCTTTTCTAAATCACCAGCACAAAGTAAAGGCGGCTGGTGTGTGTGGATGACATCACTCATCAAGTGCCAGTCGGTCTATACAAATATGAGCCTATCATCATATGCCTGACGCACCACTGGTATCAAGTGTTCATTACTTCTACAACAATTCTAAAGATCAGGCCACCTCTACCTCACAGCGTTGGTGGTTTGTCCCACAATCATCCATTTTGGTCGGCCACCACTAAATGTTCAATAATGAAAATTGTTACTCCAACCTTAGTCATTAAATGGAACTTAGATGAAAAGCACAACAGCATTACAAGTATGGAATTTGAATTGGGTCAAACAAGTATCACTTGATAGAATTGGGTCAAACAAGTATCACTAGATAGAACTGGGTCAAACAAGTATCATTAGATGGAATTGGGTCAAACAAGTATCATTAGATGGAATTGGGTCAAACAAGTATTACTACATGTAACTGGGTCAAATGATGACATCAGCTAGGGCTAAATCAACAACAAGCAAGGCAGTCACAACATGGCTGTGTTCCAAAGTTCAAATACACAGGAAATGATTAAAGAATATGATAGAGGAAAATAGGACTAAGATGTGAAATTGTTGGCAATTACAATGAACTATTGTTGAAAGATGGATGCTACATAAATAGTATATTTGATTAACATACATTTAGTGACTTACATAGCCATAGTGTAAAGAATGACAGAACACTGTGTGTTAAGATATTTTTTTTATAAATCCCCGTTATATATTAACTGTCTGATTCAAGTGGGGTGAAGAATAACCTAAATGTCTGGGCAATCACTAGTATCAACAGTTGAAAGACAAAGGAGAGACATTCTGAGAAGAGACAGAGAATCACCAAACAGGTAATGGAAAAGGAAATAAATAAAGAAAACGAGGATGTCCAAGAGAAACCCTCATGGGAACACTGATAAGAGACCAAAGGCACTGGACTAGATTCCATCCATGATTTTAAGGTGATTGAACCAGACAAAATGGAATGGAGACAGAGACTGTGAGCCCTATAATGGCACAACAGGACAATGATGGAATATTAACTAATTTACTTCTATACATAGGCTGCTTACTGGTGTATGTTGATTATGACACCTGGGCTCCTCCCAGCCTCAAATGGGTACCAGCTGGTGTCCTAGGAAGTAGAGGATGCTGACCACATAACCTTCTGAGTGTTGATTAAATACACATAAACTCTGCTTCTACAGGTTTATCCCTGACCTCTGTGAGAGCAAGCATGTCCGATAATCACTATGACACCATCACTTACTACACCACAGGGATATCTGGACAAATAACAGGCTCAGTGCATGTCTCCCCTACAAACTGTTTACTGCCTGAGTGTAGCACTTAATAGGGCTGTATAGGACAGAGGGGTTTTTGAGCCTGCGGATTTATGGCAGCATGGCTGGTGCAGTCATCATGGACTGTGCAGCTTAGGAATTTTTGTTTGGCACCAACAGAAAAAACCCACCACCTTACCAAGGATTTTAACCTGTGCCTCTCGAATAAGAGCCCGGCATTCTCAATTGCAAAGTCGGCCATGCATTTTTTATATTCATGGGTCAAATGTTGGGCATACGGGTCTGTCCTTTAAGAGCAATAGAAACTTTTACAAACAATTCAAATCTGTGTAATTAAAGCCAGAAATTAAAATCTAGTTCAGGATTTACGTTGAGCTCAGCCTTTCTGCTTCTATATACTTTTATTGTTAAAAAAAAAATTACTGTTGAGGTAAATTATCAGAATTCTTTGTTAATATGAACTTTTAACACTACTGTATTTATACCAACCCAATTTCTTGTGCTTCTGTGAACTTGTTTTAAATTATATCATAAGGATATGCTCACCATCAGTATGACTTTTCTTCTTTTTCTTTTTCCTTTTCTCCTTCTCCTTAGGAAGTTGGAAGGGGACTTTCTTTCCAAGGCGTTCCAACACAGAAAGTCGAGGCACCGGTGCTGCTGCTTCCACTTCTGGCTCCAGATCTTCAGTGTTGTCAGCTGCATCTGCATCTTCTTCGGGTTCAGATAATGCCAGTTTATGCTTACTTTTCTTATCTTTCTTCTTTTTCTTTGATTTTTTAATTGGTACTTCAGGTTCCTCCTCTACAGCTTTGGTGTCAGTCTCTCGACGGCGTTTTGCTGGCACAGAGTAGACCTGAGAAAAGTCTGCTTTCACTTTTGCTTTCTTCGACTTCTTCTCCTTGGATGCCACCTTGACTTCAATGCGTAGTTTCTCTGGAGGTATGTCAGGTTTGAAGGGTTTCTTTGCCACAATGCTGCTTGCTAGTGTATTCTGGCCAACTGTCTCGTCGCTAGCATCATCATCTGATACAAAATCATTTCTATGTTGAAAATGGGCTGCTCTAGGATACGGAAGTTTTTCTCTCACTCTTTCAGGAAATCCCCTCACTTTATGGTGTCTGCTGTAACTGCCATTTTTTCGTTCTCTTTTGGCTGCTGATGCAGAGGTGTCATCTAGGCTGATGTGTAACCTGCCAGGTACTTGTAATTTGTGCCCATGCTTAGTCTTGCTGCTGCCTTCAGACTTCCAGTTTCTGCCAGTGTCCGAATTCTCACTGTCTTCTTCTAATAATGCATATTTCTGGTCATCTACGCCAGAACTGGATTCTGCTTCCTGCCTAGGAATGTTATGTTTATTTACCTTTACACTTTTATTTTCCACCGACTCTTGATTCTGACTTTCAGAAGCCGTCCCGGAGGATTCCTGCTGTGACTTTTTACGTTTTTTAGTGCGCTCCTTTATACTTTTCAAGGAAACTTTTTTCGCAGGATCAATTTTAACTTCAGAACTGCTAAACTTTTTCCGTCTTGCTTCTATTTTAGCTCTTTCTTCAGGCGTAAGCTTGTCTAGGTCTATTTGAGGCAAGGGAGATTCCTTTACTCTGATCTCTTTCATTAAAGGTTGTTTATCTTGCTGCTGTGAAGATCTCTCAGGTCCAGTGTTATCTTGACCTAGTTCAATGTTCTTTCTATCCTGCCTATCCCTAATCCTGGGCTGGTACTTGCCGTCATGGCCAGCTAAGTTGCCTCTATCAACAGATGAACCTGAAGGTGAATACTTTCCCCTGTTGGACTGATTATATCTAACTTGATCAAACCTGGTATTGTCATGATGTCTGGATGCTCTGAAATCCCTGCCCTGATATCTTTGCCTCTCTTGATTAGGGCCTCTAAGGTTGAAATATCCAGCACGTCTGTGCGCTGATGATGTATGGGAAGGTGAACTTTGTTTCCTGACTGGGGACCTGGATCTCTTCCTAGGAGGCAATGGGCTCCTTTGTGCTGATGACAACAGTGGTGAAGAATGTTTCTTAGGGGATAAAGACGCCTGTCTAGAAGCATTAGGCCTTCGAGGCGATATTGACCTCTGCCTAGGGGAATGAGGTTTATGTGGTGAACCTGATTTCCACTGTGGTGAAAGGGGTCTTTGAGCTGGTGATCTCCATCTTGGTGAGCCAGATCTTTGAGGCAAAGGTGGCGTCCGTCGGAGAGAAAAGGGAGACCTGCGTATCTGAAGATGAGGAGATCTCTGTTTTGGTGAAAGCTGAGATTTTCGAACCGGTGACAGTGAGGGTCTTCGTTCTGATGAAAGGGGAGTTCTTCGAGTTGAATAAAGAGGAGACCTCCTTTCTGGTGAAAGGGATGACCTTCGTTTTGGTGAAAGGGATGATCTTCGTTTCGGTGAAAGGGATGATCTTCGTTTTGGGGAAAGAGGGGACCTCCGTTTTGGTGAAAGGGCGGACCTCCGTACTGGGGAAAATGGGGACCTCCGTTTTGGTGAAAGGGCGGACCTCCGTACTGGGGAAAATGGGGACCTCCGTTTTGGTGAAAGGGCGGACCTCCGTACTGGGGAAAATGGGTGCCTCCGTTTTGGTGAAATGGGAGACCTTTGCTTTGGTGAAAGGGGAGACCTCCGTTTCGGTGAAAGTGAAGATCTTCGTTTTAGTGAAAGGGGAGACCTATGTGTAGGTGAGCAAGATCTTCGTTTCGGTGAAAAAGAAGACCTTAGTTCTGGCGTGAGAGAAGACCTCCGCCTTGGTGAAAAGGGTGATTTCCGTTTTGGTGAAAGGGGAGACCATCGTTTTAGTGAAGGAGGAGATCTGCTTGCTAAAGGAAGAGGGGATCTTCGTTTTGGTGACAGAGGAGACCTCCGCATTGTTGAGAAGGGAGATCTATGTTTTGGTGAGGGGGAAGACCTCCGTACTGGCGAATGAGAAAATCTTCGTCTTGGTGAAAGTGGTGATCTTCGCTGTGGTGAAAAGGGAAATCTTCGTTTTGGTGAAATAGGAGACCTCCGCAGAGGTGAAAGAGAAGACCTACGGAATGGTGATAAACACTTTGGTGAGATGCCGCCAGGTGATCGAGAAAGTTTTCTTGGTGAGCGGGATCTCCTTGGTGACAAAGATCTCCTGTATGATGTCTGCCGGGGTGATCGTTTTGGTGACAGATGGTTATGGGGAGAGATAGATCTCCGTTGTGAAGATGATAAATAGGGAGACTTTGATCTTCTTGGTGACCAAGAAGTCCTTTTGGGAGATGATTTCAGCCGTTCGGGAGACAAAGATGTTTTATGTGAAGATGGAGAATCTCTCTGTCTCACTGGTGACAATTTTTTAGATGAGTCCACACTTTGAGGAGTTGATGTGACACTAACAGATTCTGTCTGCTTCAGCTGAATGGGTCCGTCTGTCATTTCCTGTGTTGCAGATGATACATTTACTTGTTCTAGTTTGATATCTCCAGCAACAGAAGGAACAGAACTGACACTGGATGGACTTTTCTTTAAAGATTTGCTATCATCTTCTTCAGCTTTGCCATCATTATCCTCATCTTCACTTGAAGAATCACTTTCACTGGAAGAAGATGAAGATGATGACGAAGATGAAGAAGAAGAAGATGATGATGATGAAGATAGGTTTGATGCCTTGTCGTCTGTTTCACTGGGCCCTGTCTCTGCCTTTTGCCTGGCAGATACTGATTCCACTTCTCCACCCCTTTCATCTGTGTTTGTTTTGGGAACCTGGCAAAGGGCACTAGCATCAGAATTGTCCACATCTTTCTCAAGAGAAACATGTATAACATCTACACTATTATTGAACTCTAGTTCCTCCCCAGCCAAAGCATCCAGATCTATACTTTCACTGTCACTGGGAACTGGAGAATCTCCAATCTCATCATACTCAATATGCTTTGGCTTGTTCTCCTCCTCCTCATTATCCGAGAACTCCAGCTTTCGAATTTCCACTTCAAAGGTGACTTCTGAGCTTTCTTCAAGGTCTTTCTCAGAGCTGTCTTGCTGGTCCTCAGCCTGAGTGTCGGGTTCCGCTTCTCCTTCAGCAATCTTGTCAGCTTTGACATCATCATCTGCTAGAAGGCTGTCCATCCAGTCATCTTCTTCCTCTTCTTCACTATCACTGTCGTTGTCATTGTAACGACTGAATTTGTCTGAAAATTAATGAATGCATTTGTTCAACATATTACAACACTGCAAGTCTTTCACAGCTTATTCTGTACCTTAACTAAAACATCACAAATATTAACTGTTACAATACATGTGTACACAGATCATTGACATTTACATGACATAAAGTTTTTTTTTTTAACTTGCACAATAAAACCTTTTTTTAACAAAAATTCCAAAGGATCAAACAATCAAGAGTATGTGTTAAAAAATTACTTGTGCTAACCACGGATTAATACATGTACATCCCTGTTGGGACCAACATTTCTGTCATGATAACGAAGTATTTGTTTTAAGCGAGTTCATGTTATCTCATTCAGTTCTGGTTAGTGCTGAATTCACAGTGTCTATGCCAGGGCTATTCAACTAAGTTAACTCTGGGACCAAAAAGCTGAAATAGGACAACTGACGATGATCCACGGGCCACTTGATAGGTCTCAGTGGGTAACCAGTTGAAAAGCCCTGGTGTATGCTAATGATTTTGTATCCTGTTCAGTCTCGCAAACTGAAAATACAGCTTTGGGAGAAAAGGTGTTATAACAAAATTTAGAAAATAATGGTTTAAGACAAGATAAGAATGGGACAGGAAACGTACAGAAATATGTACCACATATATGTAATCAGCGAATATACTGTGCGTTTCTTGGTAATGAAAGAGTTAAGGGGGTTTTACTGTACAATGAACATTAAAAAACTGACAGGACAAAACAGGCAACTCTCATTATAACACATTTTGGTTTATAAAAGGTCAGGCGGTACCATAGCAGATAATGCTGTTGGGGGTGTGACATGTTTGGCTTTCACATATTCATGGCAATGATGTGAGATGGCCAGTTCCCTTCCTCATCCCCTTTCCATTTCAGAAAGTTCTGAAACTATTTCAGTGCTCATTATTATTAGGCAGGATTTCCTCGTGTTGGTTACAGCACCTCATTTTGTGGGGGAAGGGGGGCGACAGGGGCAGATCCACCCCCCCCCCCCCGACAAACTAGTTATTAAAGTTGACTAATTAAAGGTTTGATGCCGGGTTCAATTCCAGCTGTGGGCCTTGCTTGCACTGGTTTCGATAGTGATAAATCTTCCTAGAAAAACTACAACAACCAAAAAATGCGGGGGTTGATTCTGCAATGTCCTGTGAAGGATATACAACTAACTTAAAATTTTTTAATTAAATGTTTGTTTGTGAAACTGATTGTGTTGGGTTGAAAAGCACAGACTCCGCGGCCTACCTGTAAACCACACTATGTCAAACATATGGTGGGTGAATGAATAAGAAGACAAGGCTTGGCTGACCCCAAAGCAACAATGGTGGGAAAATATCTCCCAGAAGAAATATGAAGCAAAACTGAGGAAACAAAGGCATTCAGATTACAAACTAACCTTCTTTCATCTAGTAATATCTCTATAATTTGCACCTCTAATGTTAAAACTGGAATGGCAGCAGAGGTGGTGAATATGAGGACATAGAATGAGATGCATATGATGAGAAATTATAGTATGACTAGTCTGTATATTCAGCTATTGTGGATGTGTGCAGTAATATGCAGAACAGACTACCTGCTGCTGCTCAAACAGGAGGTGATCTACTTTACAAAAAGTTAACATGGTGAAAGCTCTCTGGGATCAAAGCAGAACATTTATACACCTAGCAAGACAGATTCAGTGGGGAATTAGCAGATCTTCACTTAAAGTGTGTGTGAACAAACAGGCTAACTTTTAATGACGCTGTCATTTAATGGCACAATCAGCCAGATCCCCAATGTGAACCTGAGGTCAGGAGATTAAATAAAGTAATTAGAAACTTCACCAGTTCATAGTAATGGACAGGTGAATAGACAAGAAAATAAATGCATTGTCCCAATGACAGTTGCTCTGCACCCCTTGGTGGTGAATTGATGTATGACAAGTTAGATATTGTGTGGGCCCTTTGGAAGCGAGTGAACAGTGCAGAGGCGTAGACAGATCATTATGGTCAGCTAAGGAGAATGGCGCGGCGAGGAGTTACTAGGGGATCTGGCCGACGCTCAACACTCAGAAGAAGGATGAGACGAAAATATAATCAGACGATTACTAGTACGATCTGAACTGGAACTCTTCGCTTGCTGTTGAAGATGAGGACTGAGCACTTATGTGAGTATCCCGAGTTGTGTGATGTTGATTTTTCTTAATTCAACGGCATGAACAGCTTTTGCCCTACGTCAAAATAATCAAAGATTTGACACTAGCTGCACCAAACAACCATCACTGCCACTTTCTCCAGGTTACAATTGTGGAAGGGAAACAATCCAATCTTCACATCCATTGCTATCACTGAGAATATTAAGTGGTGAGATCCTTTCTAATTTTTTTTTTGGTGCAATTCTCATACCATTATCATAAAAATATGCAACGTCTTGTTTACAAAAGCTCACAAACAAAAACTATTAAAATATCAAAGATGTGCTTATAAAGAAATTTCTGAAAGACAATTAACACATATCTCTCTACAAATCTGCATGAAAATGTCTGCAAGCTGATGCAACAAAAATGACAAAGCAAGAACACCATACCTCTGGGCTTGGGGGGAGTCGGCTCTGCTGGTTTGACCTCCTGAACAGCAGTGGTAGAGGAGGAAGTATGGTATTTATCCTGTGGCAACAGTAATTTTGGTTTTGAAGCATCATTGTTGTTTAGATGAACTGAGTGACTGTCCTTCTTGTCCTCAATATCTTTGCGCTGTGGCTGAATCACAATCAGATTCCCAACTGCACTGTCTATATTATCAGCAGCTGGGAACTGTTGAAGAGTCTGACTATCTGCCCGACCTCTACCTCGTTGAAAAAAACCTCTGTTGTTGCCAGGTAGGAAACCTCTATTGTTGCCAGGTGGGAAACCTCTATTGTTGCCAGGTAGGAAACCTCTATTGTTGCCAGGTGGGAAACCTCTGTTGTTGCCAGGTGGAAAACCTCTGTTGTTGTCAGTTGGGAAACCCCTGTTGTTGCCAGGTGAGAAACCCCTGTTGTTGCCAGGTGAAAAACCTCTATTGTTGCCAGGTGAGAAACCTCTATTGTTGCCAGATGGAAAACCTCGACCAAAGAATCTGCCTCTTTCACGCATAGGCCGACCCCTGTCACCAAATGATCGACGCTGAGCTCTTGTGTTAAAAGGACGCCTGTCATTTTGGAATCCTCTAGGCTGAAACATTTTCTGTCCAACATTCTGAAACAAAATTTGCCAGGACATAATTCTCAGAAATATACACAAAAATAGGGATAACTGCAAACTTTTTGATCCATCACAACTTTACGCTAATAACTGGCTATAATTTACATATATCAAACTGGTTATGAAACTTTGGTTATTGAAGATTAAATAATTAAATATTTTAGAGAAAACACAAATGAAGTAAGTTACGCATAAATGCTACTGTTTTACATTAATTTTAATTTATAAGCAACACAAAAATAACACTTCAGTGCAGTTTTAATGTTAAAAATTTTTATGATGTAAAACAGGGCTTTTCAACAAAAAAAAGAATCATCGCCAGAGCCATGGAGTGCGTGCTCTGTGCTTGATATCATCTTTAGGTGGGAAGAGGAGAAGATGAGGAAATGGAGAGAGAAGAAGGCACAGAAAGAGGAGAGCCTGAGCCCGGAGAGTCAAAGAAAATTGAGCCTCTGGGATTAAAGCATAATTTACAGTGGGTTAAATAATTAGAGAAAGAGATATTTAAATAAGAATGCAAAAGGCAAGAGGAGCTTTCATAGAATTAGGGATTTTGTGGAGGTCAAAATAAATTAAAAGAAATACTAAACTTAAAATTTTTAATTCTAATGTCAAATCAGTACTTTTGTATGGGGCGGAAACACGGAGAACAACTAAAGCAATTACTAATAAACTACAGACATTAACGTGCCTGGGCAGAATAGAGGGAATAAAATGGTATGATAGAATCACTTATGTAGAGTTTTGGGAGAGAACTAAGCAAGCTCCGGTGGACCAAGAAGTGAGAAAAAGATGCTGATGTTGGATCGGACACACACTGAGAAAACCGGAGAACAATATAACTAGAATGTCTTTGCATTGGAACCCACAGGGCTTAGGAATGAAGAAAGGTAAAAAAAAACACACAAAGAAGGGAGCTGGAGAATGCAGTTAGAAAGATGGGGAGAGCTGCATGCGATAGCAAAGGACAGAACGACTTGGCGTGAGTTGGTTGATGGCCTATGCTCTGGGCCACAGGGCGAAAGCTCATGCGCCGCTGGATCGATGGCCTATGCTCCATGGGGGGCTAGAAAGGCAGAACAAGACTGAATTTTTGGAATTGTCATAGTGCCAAGCAGAGAGGACCTGTACCGGAAAGGCCGATTTATGATTTTGATATCCTCATGCGTCAGGAATTAAATACAGATAGATTTGATTGTCCGAGATACACCAGTTGAATAAATCCCACAGAACAGGGAAGACATGGGCAGAATCATAGTACACAAGAGGTTCAGGGTATACAGACAGATAATGGGGGCACAGCGTGGAATTTAGTAAATGTTTACGCTGCTGTTGACTCTCTTGTCACAAAGGAACATTGGGACTGGCTCAAAGAGTTGGAGGAAATCCCAGGTAATGGGCTTCTCATCTGGGAGATTTTAATGCGCTGAACAGTACTTGGGAAAATAGACACGGAAATGCTTTAGCAGAGGCTTGGGTGGATGCAGGCGTAGTCTGTATAAATGATGGTAGACCAACTAGAATGGCAACGAGACCTGGTGATGCTGACATAGCAATTGATTTGGCATTTGTTACCCAGTCAGCAGTGCTGGACACAAAATGGAGTGTCCTAGGTGATCACAGGAGTGACCAGTACCCTTCTTGGATGCCTTCGACAGAAGGTATGCAGCAGAACTACCAAATCTGCTTTTGTGCAGCCTTCATGGTGGACCCAAGAAATAGAAGAGGCATGTTGAGAAAAGTTAAACAGTACAGAAAGTACAAAACATCACAGGTTACAAGAGGAAGTTGAGAAGCTAAACGGAGTTAGAAAAGAAAAAGTAGAATAGTTTAAGCAGTGTGCAAAAGCTGCACACACAAAAACTAAATAGGAACATTTTATGAGCGAAATTAGAGGCATGATCTCCCAGGCCAGTCGACAAGGCACTTAATGATGACTCGCAGAGAAGGGGGTTTGTCCCTGGCTTGTGAACTGGATAGCAGCTGTCCTGCATTCACCTATGGTTGTCCTTTGCCTGGGTACATGGACCTCAGAACGACACATAATATAGCCCCTGGGTCTACCCCAGGGTTCTGCAATTTCACCAGTGCTATTCAAGCAAGATTGCAGAACTTGAAGCACCAGGTGTTGGAATGATATTAACATTTGCCGATGATCTTTTAAAGGGGAGGGATAGATAAAGGATAGCCCAGCAGCTGCAGGCAAACTGTAGACAAAGTGACTGACTGGTGTACAGAAATGGATGCTGTCATCAAGTCAGAAAACTGTAAGAGCTAATGTTAAAAGCCTCACAATTAATAACAGTAACATTAGAAGAGAAAGCAAACTGAGGTATCCGGGTATCATTTTCGATAGAAGCCTGTCCTTTAGGGATCATGGAGGCAGTTGCAGTGAAGTACCAAAAAGGACTCAAAGCTCTCAAGATTATGGCAGCAATGGACATGGAACAAAGACTGCTGTTCACAATGTTCCAGTGTGTGATCCTGTTGGTGATAGATTATGGGCTAGGAATGCTTACCATATCAAAGGGTCAGTTGATGAAACTTGAACGCATTCAGAATGAAGCCATGTATGCACGCGATATATACTTGCACTACCTCTTATTGCAGATAGGCTCAAAGTTTTGAAAGCAAAGTCATTTCTCAGAGTAGTTGCAGACAAGAAGCACCTCCTGCGTGGAGCCTGGATACAGCTAATGATCACAGACTGAAAATAGGAAGGTCTTGGAGGATGGCGCAAGCAGAAGACACAATTGGACATGTGTACAGGCTGGATAAATTTGGGCGAGGACAGGAGTGGGTCAAAGTGTCTGAGCAAGTTTCAGACTTGTGTAGGAATAGAAAATCACTTTAGGCCGTGAGCGCAGAATAAAAATAATGATGCATCAGCATTTCTGCAAGTGTCTCCTCAAAAAAATCGTAGTTAAATTCCATTGGTGTATTTGCACCTGCAATGTGTTTACGAGGCCCAGATTTTATATTTAACAAAATTGCATTAAGTGGTTTTGTGTGTGAACCAAATACCCTTTTAAGCCATTGTGAGTCCAAATTTCTCGTAACTTCAATGCTAGAGGTCACTGGGCCTATGGCACGAGTCATCCATTGTATGTGTGTGTGTACGTCCAACTAAATGTGAATCAATCAATCCTCATAGTGCCTAGAGGCACATAAGGCTGTGATAAACTGCTGCCACTCAATCTGATCATGAGCCATCCTTTCTATCTCCAAGGTTCGCCTCCATGTGCCTGCCTCTTCCTCGCTGTCCTTGTGGTGTCCACAGCATTGCCTGTCTCAGCGTTCTCTCTTTCTTCATTCTATGGACGAGTCCAATCCACCTCCATCTTCGTATTTGTTCATTTCTAAATTTATTTCTTCTAAGTTGTCATTTATTGTAATATTGAACTGGTGATTTTATCTTCCCAAGTGAACCTAAACAATCTTCTGAGAAGTCTTCCCTCAAAACCTCTAAGCATGCTCTCTATCTTTCTGTCTGTTTTCCAAGTTTCTGCTCCATAGAGGATAACTGTCCTAACACATTTTTTGTATATCTTGAGTTTAGTTTTAGTGCTGTAGATGTTTGATCACCAGACACTCTGAAGCCTTTTGTAAGCAGCATTTGCCTTTGCAATTCTTACTGATTTCAACCACTACATTTCCATCTGAGGAGATATTGCTTCCCAGGAAAGTCTGGTAGTCTGGTAGTCTTAGTTTCAGCTTCATAGCAAACGGGTCGCCCCATCTTTGCTCCGCTCCTGTGCCAGCGAAAAACACCCAGAATGTTTATCACAGTCCCTTGTGGAAAGATTGACAGACTGCTGTCTCAGCATATCTAGCATACACTCGCATTTCCCAGGAAAGTGAAGTCAGTTACTATTTCCAAACCTACATTATCTATTACTATAGGTCTTTCACTTCTGGGGTTTATCTCCAGCAGTTTTGTTTTACTGACGCTGATTCTTAACCCTGTCTGTTTTGCTATTTCTGTGATCTTATATGTCTTTTGTTGCAGATGTTCTTTACTTTGGCTGATGACACAGATATCATCAGCAAAGTCCAAATGTTCCAGAAGGTACTTAAGGCCCGTCCGTGTACTTGTGTTTGCTTACTTCGTTAACATAATCTATCACTATGAGAAACAAGAAAGGTGACAGAATGCACACTTGTCAGACTCTTGATGTTACCCTGAAGCATTCTGTTTCCATGAGTCATACTTTCACCTTGCATTGGTATTCTTCAAAGAGTCCTTTAAAATGTTTATAATTTTATATGGTAATCTATTCGCAGCAAGGATCCTCCACATCATTGTTCTATCTAGACTGTTAAAGGTCTTTTCCAAGTCATTAAAATTGATATATAATGTGGCATTCTAAAGCTCGTTCCACAATATTTCTGAGAGTGAAAATATGATCACAGCAGTTTCTTCCTTCTCTCTCTTCTGACAAAACTCTTGCCTGTGCATAGTAAATAAGAAAAAATATTTCAGCATAAACTCAACATTTATGACATGAAAATCTTACCATGTCATTGAAGGGATTCGGCCAGTTTTGAAAATCAGGCTGTGGAAAATGTAGCCTTGGTCTTTGAGGAGACATAGGAACATTAACTGGAGGCTGAATGAAATCTGGCTCAGGTAGAGGCTCTGGTTGATACTGATACTGCCAGATAAAGAAAAGACACAAAATCATTACAATCTGCTACATCTCTGCTCTTTCCCTGAAGAAAGTATATTTATTCATGTGGATCATTTCAGTTCTTTTTTTTCTAAATTTATTTATTTAGTTAACCACGACTGCAGCGTAGGCCCTCAATGAATCAATCCCTATCTTTTGCCATTCAAAACAGCCATGCTAGCCTCCTCAAATTGGTGATGCCTCTAATACCCTTCCCTCTTTCTTTCGCTCTTTAGGTGCAAAAACATTCTAAACACACTATCATCAGAGTTTCTTAATGTGTCCTATCCAGTACCTTTACTGATTCGCTGAATGTTGAATTAGGAATCAACATCACAGTAGTTGAGACACTTCCATAATTCCTCCAGACCCCATTAGCGAAGAGTTCTAATTCCGATGACACCAGTACCTCTCTAATTGTATATCCATTTTACCTGAGTGTTGAGCGTCAGCCAGATACCCTGGTAACTCCTTGCAGCGCCATTCTCCTCAGACCGTAATGGTTTATTTGTGCCTCCGCACTGTTCACTCACTCCCAAAGGGCCCTCACAACATCTAGCATGTCATACATCAGTTAACCACCAAGTGGTGCAGAACTGGCTAGTCTATCTGCCTGCTTGCTTTCCAGCACACTGGCATAACCTGCAGGATACATGTCTCCACCTTTCTCAACATACCCTGTGTATCAGTTACAATTATGACATGGGTCTACAGCTGATTCTCAAGCCAGCAGTGGCTGTGTCCAACTCTATTCCCAAACTAGAGGTATCAAATGCCCAGGCTTTGTTGCACTAAGCGACATCCGTGTGCTTTTGCTATGAACCCTCATGCACTTCGTCTGCTTCCCAACACAAAGCCATTTGTATAATCACATCTGGGCGGGAATTGTCATGAATCATTTGTTGAACTTCTGATTCTGCAGCACCAGCTTGCCTGTCCCTGCAGTCACGACCTAAAGTGACTTGAACCCTATACAAATCGAATTCTTGCTTGGACACCCCTTGCCCAAATTTATCAAGCCTGCACACATCTAACTGTGTCTAAAGCTTGCATCATCCAATGCCTTCATCTTTTCAGTCTGTATCCTTTAAGGGGGGAGTTCTAGCAGAGAATGTCGAAAAAATGTGATTTTTGAATTTAGAAACAAACTTGGTATCCCATTAAAGATTAACCAATATCCTTCATGTTTCTGTATAAATTGTTTCAATCGGTTGAGTAGTATCGGAGTTATGATGGTTCAAAGATAGTCAGGTGTTTCTGGTCTTGGTAAAAAAAGAAAGAAAAAATCAAGAATTCGTGTTTTCACAAATACACATATCTTTAGCAACAATGCGAGCCTCCCTAACAGTTTTCCTACAATGAACGACCCTTCGTAGGAACAATCAAAATGGCTGCCTTTGTGGAAGAGTGTTGATATTTTGTTTGTTCTGAAATTGTTTGTATAAGTGATATTCTAAACAATGTCAAGTGATAAAAAGTATTGTAAACATTCAAGGAAGCGAAAGTTTCACGGGAATAGGTTTATGAGTGCTGCAAAGAGATGCGGAGAATTAGATTTAAATAATTCTATTGAGGACGACAAACATGTAAACACTGACATTCCTACAAGTAATTTTTTGACATGTAGTAGTAAAACTAAAAATAATAGGAGAACCAGTACTAAAGTTGACATTCCCAGTGCCACGCCCACTCACAGTCGGTCATCGATAAAAATCAACGACCTGTATGACATTGATGATGATCCAGACACAGATTTAGATGAATGTGATGAGGTAAATAGTCATCCTAAATGTGGCAGTACTGACAGTGAAGGCTACAGGATTGTTGACCTGGATATTCTATGTCATCAGATTTCATCACAGCTGGTTTGTGCATTTTGTTACAACCAAGTCAGACTTACTGAGAACGAAAGACAAGGACTCGGTAGTCAATTTGAATTTGTGTGCAGCAACCAGAATTGTAAAAGGCAGACCATTTTTAATTCAAACCCTCAAATTAGTGTCAACAACAGCAACAGCTTACAAGTACACTCAGTCAATAGGCGAGCTGTCTTTGCTATGCGCTGTGCAGGAGGTGATCGCTCGGACTTACAAACATTTTGTGGAATAATGAATCTTCCGCCGCCTGTCCAGAAGAGTACATATAAACTAATAAATGAAAGGATAGAAAGTGCTGTTAGCTCCTCTCAAGCAGCTAGCATGAAGAAAGCTGCAGAAATAGAATTTAGATTAGCAGAGAAGACAGAGTCAGTTGATGATAGCCGGGATATTGATGTGTCTGTAGATGGAACCTGGATGACCCGAGGACATTCCTCAAAAATAGGAGTAACCACGCTCATTGGCTGTGTCACAGGAAAGGTTATTGACACAGGTGCACTCTCAAAAGTGTGCAAATCTTGTGACTACTGGAACACACAAGACAAGGATTCAGAAGCTTATGAGTTGTGGGAACAAAATCACCAATCACAGTGTACATCTACACATAATGGTTCATCCAGAGGTATGGAAGCAACAATCGCTAAAGAATTATTTTCCATGTCAGTTGAAAGATATAAGCTGAGATACACACGCTTCATTGGAGATGGTGACACAAACAGCTTCAAAACAGTTTCTGATTCAAAACCATACGGTGACACACCTGTTGTGAAGATAGAATGTGTCGGGCACATGCAAAAAAGAATGGGAACCAGACTACGCAAGATCAAGAATTTTTGGGGGAAGGGAAAGAAACTGTCAGATGGGAAGAATATTGGTGGAAAAGGAAGGCTTACGGACACACAGATTGACTCTATTCAGAAATATTATGGGAATGCAATCAGAGGTAATAAGAATGACTTGAAAGGAATGCGAGAGGCTGTTTGGGCAATATATTTTCACAAACTCTCCACGGATCAAAAGCCTGTTCACAATCTCTGCAAAGTTAGTTGGTGCCCATATCAAATAGCTGTTGCTACCAACACAGAAAAGGATTATAAACATAAAAATTACCTGCCTGCAGCAGTTATGGAGGTCATCAAGCCAGTTTTCAGAGATCTCTCGAACCCTGACCTGTTAAGAAAATGTCTAGATGGCTACACCCAGAACGCTAACGAATCAATCAACAGCACAATTTGGCGACATTGCCCTAAACACAAGTACCACGGATTAGTAGCTGTCAAGATTGCAGTTGGCATTGCAGTACTCATTTTCAATGATGGAGCAAAAGCCCTAGAAGCACCCTTAGAGGCAATGCAACTATTGTGTGGACGTTTCACGTCAGAATTTTTCATCGCGACTGACACGTTACGGCTGAAAAACTCTCAGAAGAAAGCAACAGAAGCATCATTGGAAGCGAGAAGTGCAAGAAGGAGGAAGCGACTTGGATTAGAGGAGGTACAAGCTCAATCCGAAGGTTTTCCTTACTTGACAGGGAGTCACTGAGGTAAAAATCTAAAATATTTTCACTAAAAAAAATTAACGTCGTTTGTTGTAAAATGTTACATTTTTTTCACTTATCCTGGTATAACTTTCTCAGATATCAACTAATCTGCATGAAATTTTGCATGCTTGCTCACATTATAACTGGTTGTAGCCTATTCTAAGGGAATTCAAATGTCATGATTGTGTACATTTTTATGTAATTTCAAATTTGTAATTTTCCACACACAAAAAGAGGAAAATTTCAGGTAGCTTAGCATAAAATCTATTAAATGTGTACTGTTTTCCATAGTCCAGGCCATACTCACACAATTTGTGTATGTGCAGTTTAATTTTGAAGGAATTTGGCTGCACCATTTCCCTAAAAATATTTCCAAAGTAACATCTATATTTTGAATATTTAAAAAATAAATTTTTCACTTAAAAAAATTATTATCTTACATGTATATATTGAATTCCAAAGATGTTTATTTTATATGATAGCCTGATCATATGGTCATTATGTCTGCAAATTTGAGAGTCCTATCTTTAAAATTGAATTTTTAATGATTTCTTTTCTGACGCCACTGATTCCCTGCTAGAACTGCCCCCTTAACTCTACCTAGGACTTTATGCAGGAGATTCTTCTTGTCTGCAGCTGCTGTGAGATATGACTGTGCTTGCAGAACTTTGGTCATATCTGCAATAATAGGCAGTGCAAGTATGTATTGCATACATACTAACGGGGTATCTCTTGTGCTTTCCAGAATTACCTGTATGGCTTCATTTTGTTTGCTTCGAAGTTTCATCAGCTGATTTTTTTATATGGTAAGCACTCCAGGTCCATAGTCTATTACTGACAGGATCACATGCTGGAACATTGAGAACAGTATTCTTTGTTCCATGTCCATTGCTGCCATGATCTTAAGAGCACTGAGTCCTTTTTTTTTGTATTTCACTGCAACTGCCTTCACATAATCCCTGAAATCATCCTCCACATGACTACTGATTTGCTTTAACGTGCTTAGTTCCTCCCCATAAGTTATGCATTAGTAATTCTGTCATATGTACTCTGTGAGGAATGAAATGTTTTCTAAATGTTTCAAAATGCTTATAGATGCTGTTTCTGCTTTCACATAGTTTTTTTTTTAAAGTGTTTTTGTTTTTTTTAGAAATTGCAACAGATAGTTTCACCCTTTATGTGCTGGGCCACGCACTTTTTTTCCAGTGACCACTGACATCAACAGTGAAAGATTATACTTATCCACTCGATCTCTGCAAATCCACATTGTTTAGTACTTTCTGGCTGACTTTTATTTATTTCTTTTCTCATAATTATTTTGAGTGACAGTTTTGTCCTATGAATCATATTACTATGTGATGATCTTTACAATCTAAAGCACCTAGTTATGAAAAATATAGGTCTATATAGGTTATTAAGCCATTATCATAGATTTAGACATGCTGTCAGCAATGAAATAAATGTGGTGAGTTCTATGGGTAATCTCTGAGGTATAAAAGAATTGCTGAGAATCTGCATGCTAAAAAATTTAATGCGTTTATCAAATATCAAA